AAGGGAGAGCTAACAAACTCATTGACTATTTATACACAGACACTAAGTGCAATTTAAAAAGCCACAGGTGTGCAAAATTTACTTTTAATTGCCTTTTTAACCTGTGTGTGTGTCACCTTGTGTGTCTGTAACAAGGCCAAACATTCAAGGGAATGTAAACTTTTGATCAGGGCCATTTGGATGATTTCGGTTATCATAAGGATTTAAAAAGGAGCCAAAAAACTATGTGATAATAAATGGTGTGACGAGACCAATCTCGCCACATTGCATTGGAGAAGCCTGGTTGCTCGCCTGCTGCCTTTGGACTATGGCCCCTTTGTAAAAGACTTTATTTTTGCATGCAGAAAAGCTGTATTCGTGCTTTTCTGCCGGTTGTTCGGTAGTTTCAATCTACCGAACAACCGTACGAATGACTGGACCACCTGGGAGCTGGAGTGTGCCGGCAATTAACCTCCCTGAAGCTGCGGTTAACCGCAGCTTAATTGATGAACGCTGGGTGGCCGCCGTTCGTATCCCGAACACGAGGTCGCGGCCATTTTAAACCATACGAATGAACAGCGGTGTTCGCCTCTATTTTCATGGAACTAAAATCGGACACAGTTTTGCGCGAACACCGCTGAAGCCGCCGACCTCCCTTCTTGTTCGGTGAAAGCACACGAATGACCCGGTGTTCGGTATTTTTGTTTGAATATCTCATACCCCAGATAGGAATCCCATGGAGCCCATTCGTATGAAACTGACTGTAAAGACTTTGGCTCCATGGCGATTGAACTGTATTCGTGTAGTCTGAGTGCCATTCACCTAATAATGTGCACTCAGACCTGAGCTATCTGGGGATATGTTACATGTCTGTGGTTTATGTAGTAAATGTTATTTTATGTATTTTAAAGTGTTATGCTGGTTTTGTGTTCCCACATGTGTAATGGAGTTTTGCCTTTGTCTTGGGAGATAATTGAATTACTTCCCAATTATCTCCCAGGGCAGAGGGGAGGAAGCCAGGATGCATTGTGGGAATATACTGTGACTGTGTGTCCTTTTTGTATACGTGTCTGTCCCTTGTCACAGTCTTCCATCTGGTCCCCTAGGGGAGTGTCCACCAGGTGGGAGACCTGCATAAAAGCTGGGCAGGTAGCCCTCATTAAACAGACCACTGCTTGACCCTCAACACGGAGCCTTGTCTCGTCTTTGGGGGGATTTACTGTATGCTGCTAAGGACTGATTGCCAGGAGTGTAAGCCGCTTGGAAGCTTTTCCTGTTCGCCTGCTAGCAGCTATTCGTATGGTTCCTGTTCGCTTATTTGAAGTGCTACCTTATTCCCTTGTATGCCGTTCGGGAGTTTGGAGCATTCACTTATTGGCGGTTCGTGAGTTTTGGTGATTATACCGTAGCTGTGCCTGTCTCTGAAAAGGGGGATTATCGTCTAAGCGGTTTTTTCCCCTTTTATGCTAAACGGTCCGTTACAATTGGTGGCAAGCGGCGGGATCGTTCCCACAGACTACAGGACAGCTACAGGCGACACCATTCCGTGGATTTTTACAATTTGAGGGCAACGCATGTCCCAGTACAGCGACCCTGACAGCACCGAGATGGAACCAGCAGTGGAGTATGACGAGGGTGCCATGGATGACCGAGATGCAGTCCGTAAAGGCATCTGGTACCAGGCACTGGGTATTGTGGAGTACCAGCGGGGCAAGAGACTCCCCAAGGAAGACCAGCGGTTGCAGAAGCGAGTAGCCCTGCGGATGCCCTTCCTGGGAGAGCAGCCCCTGGAGGAATGGGTGAGGAAATTGGAACACCTAGTATGGCAGGAGTTGTGGCTAGAAGATGCCTACCAGGCGCTCTGGTGGTATGGGGCACAGTACCTACCCTGGACAGCCGAGCATGACAAGCCAGAGGGAGAGGAGTTTGATGGTCCTGGCTTGTTATGGGAGTCGTTTTCAGAGCTCGAATTTGGGAGCCCTACACAAGCCCGGTTCAGTGATCTCTGGGAGTGGAGGGAGAGCAGGTATGACTGGGACGACGCTCACAAAATTGAGCAAGACCTGGTCCACCTGGTAACCCGGGAGATGGAGCTAGAACAGGGCTACCAGCAGCTGTTTCAATACAGCGAGAAGGCTCAGCAGGAGAGCAGCGTGACAGAGCCAGAACCAGACCCATTCAGCTGGGAAGACATTGTGGATATTTTCTGGGAAGAACCCCAGGTGGCCGGTAGAGATGGGACCGAGGTCTCTCCACCGGTCCTGCAGGGAATTGGGAGCCCAGTCTCCATTCCCCAGCGGCCGTGTGATTTATTGGGAATTGGGAGCCCAGTCTCCATTCCCCAGCGGGAGATATTGCAGGGAATTGGGAGCCTGAGCTCCATTCCCCAGCGGCAGGCTGAGTTACAGGGGACAGAGGTAGTTGTTCCTGCCCCCCAGCAGCAGAATGAATTGCAGGGAATTGGGAGCCCGAGCTCCATTCCCCAGCGGGAGATATTGCAGGGAATTGGGAGCCGGAGCTCCATTCCCCAGCGGCAGGCTGAGTTACAGGGGGCAGAGGTAGTTGTTCCTGCCCCCCAGCAGCAGAATGAATTGCAGGGAATTGGGAGCCCGAGCTCCATTCCCCAGCGGGAGATATTGCAGGGAATTGGGAGCCGGAGCTCCATTCCCCAGCGGCAGGCTGAGTTACAGGGGGCAGAGGTAGTTGTTCTTGCCCCCCAGAAGCCAGGTGATATGCCGGGAAGGCAGTGGGAAGTCCAGGGAGAGGAGAGCAGTGTCCTCCCTCCGCAGCGGCAGCGTGATGTTTTGGGAATTGGGAGCCCAGTCTCCATTCCCCAGCGGCAGAGTGTCCTACCGGGAATAGAGAGCCCAGTCTCCTTTCCCCAGCAGCAGGACTCTGTATTGGGAGCAGAGACAGTCGGTCTCCCTTCCCCGCAGCTGGAAGTATGTATGGGAGAGGAGCTGGTTACCCCCTCTCCCCAGCGGCAGCTTAATGTACAAAGGGGAGACAGTAAGCCCCACAACGGTGCAGATGGGACCGTAGTCTCTACACTGCCAGCACAGGGGGTAGGGACGGTCGGTCCTGCTCCCCAGCGACAGGGCTGTTTAGCCAAAGGGGAGACAGTCGGTCTCCCCCTCCAGCAGCAGAGATGGGTAACCAAAGGGGAGACAGTCAGTCTCCAGCAGCAGCAGCAGAGCGGTGTATTTAAAGGGGAGACAGTCGGTCTCCCCCTCCAACAACCAGGCTTCCACCAGGCTACCCTCCCAGTAGCGCTGGCAACAGGGCAGAGTGCCGCTGGTCTCTGCCCACGCAGCAACCCACCAAGTCAGCGTACCCGTACCCAGCACAGCCGTGGTGAGGCACCTGGACATGGACAAGCTTCCCCTTTACCCAGGTGTAGTAACCATTTATTGTGGGTGGGCTGTGCTGTGGATTATTTGTTGTGGGTGGGCTGCTGGACTAACAAGGGCACTGACCGGCAGGAGGTCAGATACCCTGTTAGTCTGTTTGGAAAAGGGGAGAGATGTGACGAGACCAATCTCGCCACATTGCATTGGAGAAGCCTGGTTGCTCGCCTGCTGCCTTTGGACTATGGCCCCCTTTTAAAAGACTTTATTTTTGCATGCAGAAAAGCTGTATTCGTGCTTTTCTGCCGGTTGTTCGGTAGTTTCAATCTACCGAACAACCGTACGAATGACTGGACCACCTGGGAGCTGGAGTGTGCCGGCAATTAACCTCCCTGAAGCTGCGGTTAACCGCAGCTTAATTGATGAACGCTGGGTGGCCGCCGTTCGTATCCCGAACACGAGGTCGCGGCCATTTTAAACCATACGAATGAACAGCGGTGTTCGCCTCTATTTTCATGGAACTAAAATCGGACACAGTTTTGCGCGAACACCGCTGAAGCCGCCGACCTCCCTTCTTGTTCGGTGAAAGCACACGAATGACCCGGTGTTCGGTATTTTTGTTTGAATATCTCATACCCCAGATAGGAATCCCATGGAGCCCATTCGTATGAAACTGACTGTAAAGACTTTGGCTCCATGGCGATTGAACTGTATTCGTGTAGTCTGAGTGCCATTCACCTAATAATGTGCACTCAGACCTGAGCTATCTGGGGATATGTTACATGTCTGTGGTTTATGTAGTAAATGTTATTTTATGTATTTTAAAGTGTTATGCTGGTTTTGTGTTCCCACATGTGTAATGGAGTTTTGCCTTTGTCTTGGGAGATAATTGAGTTACTTCCCAATTATCTCCCAGGGCAGAGGGGAGGAAGCCAGGATGCATTGTGGGAATATACTGTGACTGTGTGTCCTTTTTGTATACTTGTCTGTCCCTTGTCACAGTCTCCCATTTGGTCCCCTAGGGGAGTGTCCACCAGGTGGGAGACCTGCATAAAAGCTGGGCAGGTAGCCCTCATTAAACAGACCACTGCTTGACCCTCAACACGGAGCCTTGTCTCGTCTTTGGGGGGATTTACTGTATGCTGCTAAGGACTGATTGCCAGGAGTGTAAGCCGCTTGGAAGCTTTTCCTGTTCGCCTGCTAGCAGCTATTCGTATGGTTCCTGTTCGTTTATTTGAAGTGCTACCTTATTCCCTTGTATGCCGTTCGGGAGTTTGGAGCATTCACTTATTGGCGGTTCGTGAGTTTTGGTGATTATACCGTAGCTGTGCCTGTCTCTGAAAAGGGGGATTATCGTCTAAGCGGTTTTTTTCCCCTTTTATGCTAAACGGTCCGTTACAGATATCATGGCACTAGAAAACATGCAGAGACGAGCTAGAAAACTGATAAAAGGAATGGAGCGTTTTAGTTACGAAGAAAGGTTAAAAAATGTAAATCTCTTTAGTTTTGAAAAACGGCGCCTGAGAGGGGATATGATAACATTATACAAATATATTCGGGGCCAGTACAAACCTTTATCCGGAAATCTATTCATAAACAGGGCTATACATAGGACACGAGGTCACACATTTAGGCTGGAAGAAAGGAGATTTCATCTAAGGCAAATAAAAGTTTGTTTTTTTTACAATAAAAGCAATCAGGATGTGGAATTCTCTGCCTGAAGAGGTGGTTTTATCAGAGTCCATATAGATGGACTCTGATAAAACCACACTAAACAGCAATTGGATAAATACTTGAAAAAACATAACATACAGGGATATAATTTCTAATTAGTGGGGTAATAGCTGCTTGATCCAAGGAGACATCTGACTGCTATTTTGGGGTCAAGAAGGAATTTTTTTCCTAGTTTGTTGCAAAATTGGAAGCGCTTCAGACTAGGTTTTTTGCCTTCTTTTGGATCAACAACAAAAATGGACGCAAGTCTCTTTGCAGCTATGTAACTATGTGATAGTATAGCACGCCATGCAGGGAGTCATGTGATATTATAACACGCTATGCAGTAAGTCATGTGATATTATAGCACGCCATGCAGGAGATCATGTGATATTATAACACGCTATGCAGTAAGTCACGTGATATTATACCATGCCATGCAGTAGCACGTGTGATCACAGCACTCCAGTCACGGGGAGATGATAGCAGGACACGGAGTTGGCAGAGTTCATTGTGTAACCTGTATCAGATTGATCCAGTTTCATTTCCCATGGCGTGCTCAGTCTTGTTTCTCACGACAAAGAACCAGAAGTAAAGCTGCGTTCTCAGGTGTCGGCTGTCACATGACACCTTGTTGTATTATTAGCTGTATGCTGTTCATGTGGTACGTGAGCTGCTTCCAGCTGACACCCAGATTTCAAAGGTTACAGCAGGAGGTGTGAGAGTCACAGTTTGTACACACATGACTATCGCTGCGTATTACCGGCATGTATATCTCTGACTCAGTTAGACTCAGTTAGAGCTAGTAACTGGCCAAATATTGCCTGTCTGTCTATTCATCCGTCCAGCCACACACCCACACACCTGTCTATCCACCCATCTATCCATTTATCCATCTGTCTGTCCACCCATCCATCCATTCCTCCATCTGTCCGTCCACCCATCCATCCATTCCTCCACATGTCCCTTCACCCATCTATCCATTCCTCCACCTGTCCCTTCATCCATCCATCCATTCCTCCACCTGTCCCTTCACCCATCCATCCATTCCTCCATCTGTCTATCCACCCATCCATCCATTCCTCTGTCTGTTTGTCCATCCATCCATTTCTCCGTCTGTCTGTCCGTCCGTCCACCCATCCATCCAGCCCTCTGTCTGTTTGTCCATCCATCCATTCCTCCATCTGTCTGTCCATCCATCCATTCCTCCATCTGTCCGTCCACCCATCCATCCATTCCTCCATCTGTCCGTCCACCCATCCATCCATTCCTCCGTCTGTCTGTCCATCCATTATTATTATTTTATTATTTATATAGTGTCAGCAAATTCCGTAGCTCTGTATCTATCTATCCATTCCTCCATCTGTCAGTCCATCCCTCTGTGTGTCAGTCTGTCCACACATCCATCTGTCCACCCATCCACCCATGCATTAA